GGGAGGAGTAGGCTATCTTCAATTCTGCAAGAAAATGGGTGTGACACTTAGGTTTACCTCTTAAGCATAACCAAGTTTATTGTTTTACAAGGATTTAATCTTATCACTTTTCAAAGGCTATTTTAATATATTCATTAAACGTAAAAAAATTGTTTAATTGCTTATAGTCCAAAAATGATTAGCGTTTATTCAATTAGAATTTTAAAAACATCTTAAAAACAAAGAAAGAAAGCAAAACAAATTTAAATAAAACATGTTGTTTTCATGAAAATACAACTAAGCTTCACAGAGGGTGACTAACAGACACATATGTTGATCCCAAAATGCCCTATTACTCATCAAATATCCATGCCCCTAAGTCAATGAAATTTTGAACCTTATGCTTCAATGCCTCACAATTCTCAATAATGTGCCCCAAGCTTCTTATGTGGTAGCTTAACACTGCATTAACATCAAAATATTCAAGAAATGGGGGTTTCTTTGGCTTGGACTGCACTGGAGTCATCAGGTTCTTCTCAACCAGTGTTGGGAGCAATTCTTCGCATGTCATCAAAATAGGACCAATAAGAGTCTTTTCTCGGATCATCTTATAAGGCATGGTCCCACGATTAGCTGAATAAGACCTTAATGTATTGAACTCATCTCTATTATCAACCTCACTACTACCAGTACCCCTTATCATGTAGTTCTTGATAGCTCTTTCGATCATTTCTCTACACATAACGATGTTAGAGAAACCCTTAGTGACAACTCCTATCATGTGATCAATATAAGGAGATTTTAATGTTTCAATAAACAAAAAATGTGAACACCCTTTTAGTTATTGGCAGATGTATTAGGGTTGTAACGTCCCTCTATCATTGTTCGTACTATCGAAAGCTCTCGTTTCAGTTTATCTCCATATTTTACATCATTTTTTGATTAAGGGCCATATTAATCATGTTCTTGTATTTTATTAAGAAGACCTTGGTTAAGTCATTCCAAGAACAAATTTGGATGGTTATACCATTTGGAAGTGTGCCTAATCAAACTATCTTGAAAATAATATATCAATAGCTTCTCATTCTCAAAGCGGTTAGACACTCTTACAAAACATGGTGATGTGTGATGAAGGGTAGGTGGTCCCACCATACTTCTCAAATTTAGGAACTTGAACCTTCAGTGAAGGACCAGGTCGGGGACCAGACTTAGTTCTTTGGCATTGAAACAATAAAATGACTCAACCATCTCCCTAATTTTTATTTTTTTCCTATAAATTCTTTAGTATTTGGGTGAGTTTTTCTTTCTCAGCTAATTCAATTATGTAACCCCTAGAACCAACGTGGATGTTATGACCAAATCTAGGCGGTTACATATCGTATTCAGAAATTCTTTTCATATTTAAAACAACGTTAAAATCCATATAATAATATAATATGAAATTATCCATAAGAAAGATTCATACGATAAACATATATATATATATACATATATACAAATATCAGAAAAAAGTATAAAACATATACATAATAAAATATCGGTAATACATATATACCAAGACAGTAGAAAAAACACGTGTCACTAAAGTATAACTAAAGGTATATAGAGATATACAATGGTTTAAAAATATGAGTAGTCGGTCCTCCTGATGCCAAGTCTGTTAGTCTATGGTTTTCTACTATCTGAAAAGGTTAAAATTTATAGAATGAGCTAAATAGCCCAGTGTGCTCCTTATTGTGTATAAAAAATACAGATAAAATACTTCAATAAAAAAATAGTTCATCAAGCATGCTTTAAAAATATGAACACTACCCCATCCAAACACTAGAATATGTAGGTTCCTCAAAACCATACACCCACCTGTACACCCGGTAAGGGCCTTATACATATATCATAAGGACTTGCGGTAAGGACTTACCCTGTGCACAAAGCATAGGAGCCAGCGGTAAGGTCTTATAAGTCATAGACTACGCCTAATATGCTTCCTCCAATAATACTCCCAATGATAGTAATAAACATGTATGTATTCAAGTGAAAATGATAGTTTAATCCATTAAAACATGAAAAATATTCCATACTCAGAAATCAGATATAGGAATATAGTAACCAGAGATCATATAAAAATATACAATAAATCAGATATCAGATAAACAATATTCAGAAAATTAGGTATCGTGTCGTAAAAATATTCAGTATCATCATAAATCTAAACTAGTTTAGATAAATAGTTTAAAACAATAATGTAACACCATCAGAAAACACACATAGTACGATAAGGAAGCCTACTACCGAGTCTACCGATCACGATCAGCAATAGCGCTAGATCGTACGAATCGGAAAATCTATATCAGAATCCAAATACGAATAATAATAACCTCTATTTAAACAATTTACAGAAACCTACGAGTAACTCTCGAAGAACGCATATCGAACAGATACCTTCATAAAAAATATATACTCGAATCAATTCCATAATCAAACCTCAAATAAATAACGAAAAATGCTACAAGAACTAAGCATTTTCGGATTAACGAGCTCGATTCAGGGCTTTCGAGCCAAAATTTGGCAAAACAAATCACAAAATCAGACTCACGACATCTAAAAAATCAAGATAGAGGTTTTTAGAAAAAGTCAATGGCGGTCAATGGTAAACTTCTAACACCCCTGACCCGTACCCGACCCAGATACGAATCCGAAGTGTCACATTTGACTTTTCAAACATACGAAATTCACAAATGAGCATAATTTTAAAACTTATTATTCCAATCAGGATAAAGAAAATAATAACATTCCAAATATAAAATCATTTCACATTAAATCTTAATAATTTAGATATATAACCCAAAAGAAAGAGTTTACAAAATACAAAATTATACCAGTTTACAAAATCGACCAAAGCATTTCAAATTAAACGTATTATACATGCCAACAGTTTACAAAATAAACAAAACCTACATTTAATTTGTACTGATATGATCTTTTGATGATATGATATCCTTCACAAATCAATCTTCTACTTTCTTACCTAAGCGTGAGGAAAACACACGCTAAGTCGATGACTTAGTGAGGCAATACTAGTAGTGCTAACTTATGAATAGAAACTTATTTGTTTTATTTAATCATTTTTCAAAAAGCTTATTAATTTTTATATCAAAGGTATACTTATGAATAATTATACTTTGTATTTATTTGTTCCAATTGCCCAAGGTATACTACTAAGAAATTTAGGTATTTGATTCTACGAGGTTGTGTACTAATACTGTCACCACAACTCGTAATTGCACTGAAGTTCCACATAATTGTCCAGAAGGACCACATAGTTTGCACTGAAGTGCCACATAGGGTTGCACCGAAGTGCCACATATTTGTCCCGGAGGACCACATAATTATCCCGAAGAACCACATAGAGCCTCGACTTTTGGCATGCCAACTATACCTCTAATCCTCATACATATCATTGGGCTTTTAATCACATAATTAGGTTCAATCCTTATTCAAAGTGTTTCTTATTCACATAGCTTCTGTCATAGAGTATGTTTACATTCACTGGTTCGAAGCTCATATGTTCATAATACATAGTTTGTAACAATTGGAAATTGAATAAAACATTTAAATAAAACATTAAATAAATATATAGTTTTCGATCTAAAACACTGAAGTTGGCTTATCGCAAGCCTTCCTCAATTCTATTACGAAAAGAGAAGTTGCACTCACCTTTGCCTCACTAAGGTATAATCCCGATCTCTTTGAATTGATACTCGAAAATACCAAGCTGACTGCAAGTCAATTACGTTCGATCACTACACTAACAATTTAAAATCAATGTCTATCTTATTTTAATTATATCAAATCATAATTACTGGATATACAAGAAACCATATACTTCATTTTATACTTGGGGGTATCGATACCTACACATGTACCGATACCTAAATTGCATTCGAAATGACAAGGGTATTGATACACTCCTCAATGTACCGATACACAAATAACATTTGATGTTTTGAGAGTACCGATACACTCCTCAGTGTACCGATACACAAATGGTATTCGATGTTTTGAGGGTATCGATACACTCCTCAATGTACGGATACACACTCATACAATTATGCATGTTCAACTAATGGGGTATCGATACCTCTCCTAAGGGTACCGATACACTAGGCCTAGAATGGCCATTTTCAACTCGAAAATCACCTAAAATCCACCCAAAAACTCTCTTAAACACATACTTTGAGTTTATAAACTCACCTTTATACCTTCAAACCAACTTGTACACATTTATAACTCTCAAACGTCCCAAATTCTCATTTAAACACTTGAATCTTCAAATCATACTCAAATTCAAACATGTTATTACCCAATTCTATCACTCTTAATCTTTTAATTAAGCTATTGACAAGTCAAAAAATCTTATTCAAACTTCAAAAACTACTCCATAACAAAATTTCATCTAAAAACCCATTTTGCAAATCCTTCTCTAAAATACTGATCTTGTTGTTTTAATGCAATATAAGCTTTCTTTAAGCTTATATACCATCCAAACTTCCATTACCAACCCAAAAATCAAAGTAACCCCACAAAATTCATATTCTTACCTTTAGGATGAAGCCCACGTTGAAGAAGAAGAGAACAAGATGATATACCAACCCTTCTTCCTTTTAATTCATATTTATCCAAACCACTACCAATTAAAATATCCTTCCCTATAATTTACCATTTTACCCTTGTTATAATTCCATATTTGCTTTAATACCCAACACAAATTCATCCATAAATCACTAAACTTATCACTTTATTCTAATTCATCCACTGAATTTAGAAGTTCTTACCATTTGGTCACTGACACGATACTTGGGATGTTACAAATATCCCCCTTAAGAAAATTTGTCCTCGAATTTTCATTGCACAAAAAGGTGGGGATATTGCTTCCTCATATCCTCTTTACGTTCCCACGTAGCTTCTTCTACTTTATGGTTTCTCCAAAGAACCTTCACTAGTGGGATCGTTTTATTCCGTAACTACTTGCTCTCGAAAGCTAGAATCTGCACCGGTTCTTCCTCATATGTCAAATCATATTGACCTTCTATTTTATCTGGAGTTATGATGTGCGTAGGATCAGATCGATACCGCTGAAGCATAGACACATGGAAGACATTGTGAATCTTTTCCATCTCTGGTGGTAACGCTAACTGATAGGCTACATGTCCAACCCTTTTCATAATTTCATAAGGTCCAATAAACCTAGGACTCAACTTTCCTTTACACCCAAGTCGAAGCACTTTCTTCCAATGTGAAACTTTCAAAAACACCTTATCGCCTACTTGAAATTTAATCTCTTTTCTTTTCAAATCAGCGTATGACTTTTGTCTATCCGAGGCAACTTTCAAATTGTGCTGAATCACATGAACTTTTTCTTCCACTTCTTTAATCAAGTTTGGACCATGCACTTCCCGATCTTTTAACTCGTACCAATTGAGCGGTGTTCTGCACTTTCTTCCATATAACGCTTCATAAGGTGCCATTTTTATGCTGGATTGGTAGCTATTATTATATGCAAACTCCATAAATGGAAAATATTTTTCCCACGATCCAGCAAAATCAATCACACATACTCTCAACATATCTTCCAAAATCTGAATTGTTCTCTCAGATTGCCCATCAGTCTGAGGGTGAAACATCGTGCTGAAATTCAATCGAGTACCCAAAACTCCTTGCAAAGACTTCCAGAATCTTGAAGTAAATCTAGGATCTCTATCAAAATCTATCGAGATTGGAATACCATGAAGTCGCACTATCTCTTTGATATACAACTCCGCATGTTTCTCCATAGAGATGTCCGTTTGTACAGGAATGAAATAGGCAGTCTTTGTAAGACGATCAACAATTATCCAAATTGAATCCCTGGCGACAAAGGCAAACCTTCAATGAAGTCCATCGTAATGTTTTCCCATTTTCACTGTGTAATTGAGATAGGTTGCAACAAACCAGAAGACACCTGATGCTCAGCTTTCACTTATTGACAATTTAAACACTTTGCTACAAATTTTGTAATATCTTTCTTCATGCATGGCCACCAAAAACGCTCTTTCAAATCTTGATACATCTTGTTCCCTCCTGGGTGCATCGTTAAGGGACTACAATGTGCTTCATACAAAATGTCTCGTTTCAGCTCACAGTCATTAGGGACATACACACGATTATTGAAATATAAGCATCCGTTTGACTTAACTTCGAAGTTCTCAAGTCCACCTTTCTCTACTCGATCAAACCAAGCTAAACACTTATCATCTTTATTTTGTAACTATTGGATCCGATCCAAAAAAATAGGTTTTAATCTTAATGTAGCCATCAATACACTATTTTCTTTTACCATCAACCGAGCATTCAATCTACGCAAAGCAGTAAAAGTCTTCCGACTGAGAGCATCTGCTACAACGTTACTTTTCCTGGATAGTAATCAATGATCGCGTCATAATCTTTCAGTAACTCCATCCACCTTCTTTTCCTTAAATTTAACTCCTTTTGAGTCAATAAATACTTTAAGCTCTTGTGATCGGTGAAGATGTAGCAACGTTCACCATACAAATAGTGCCGCCAAATTTTCAATGCAAAGACCACAGTTGCTAGCTCCAGATCATGTATCAGATAGTTCTTTTCATGAGGCTTCAGCTGTCTCGAGGCATAAGCAACTACCTTCACATCTTGCATTAGGACATATCCCAAACCATTATGGGAAGCATCGATGAAAATTGTAAAATCCTTGTTTGATTTTGGTTGCACCAACACCGGAGCTTCGGTCAGAACTTTCTTCAATGCTTCAAAACTTTTCTGGCAATCAGGAGTCCATTTAAAATGTATATCCTACCTTAATAATTTGGTTAAATGTACAGATATCATCGAATTTTTTTTGACAAACCTTCGATAATAACCTGCGAGACCCAAGAAACTTCAAACTTCTAACACATTTTTTGGAATCTCCCATTCTAATACAGCTTTAACTTTTTGTGGGTCTACCCGAATACCCTTTGCCGAAACCATGTGTCCAAGGAATGCCACTTCAGATAACCAAAATTCACACTTTGAGAACTTAGCATAAAGCTTCTTATCTCTCAAAGTTTGAAGAACTACATGAAGATGAACATCATGCTCCTCATTCGACTTAGAATGCACTAAGATGTCATCAATAAAGACGACTACAAACTAATCAAGATACAGTTGAAAAACTCTATTCATCAAGTCCATAAACGCTGCAGGTGCATTTGTTAACCCGAATGCCATTACAACAAATTCATAATGACCATACCGAGTCCTAAACGTCATTTTAGGAACATCTTTTTCTTGAATTTTTAATTGATGATACCCAAAGTGTAAATCGATCTTTGAAAATAAAGCAGCTCCCTTGAGTTGATCAAATAAATCATATATCCTTGGAAGAGGATATTTGTTCTTTATGGTCACCTTATTAAGCTGACGATAATCTATACAGAGGTGCATCAAACCATCTTTCTTCTTTACGAATAACACCAGAGCACCCCATGGAGACACACTAGGTCTAATAAACCTTTTATCCAAAAGCTCTTGCAACTGAGTTTTTAACTCTTTCAACTCTCTTAGAGCATTCCTATAAGGAGCTATCGAAATGGGTGATGATCCTGACATCACTTCAATTTTAAACTCAACCTCCCTATCTAGAGGTAACCCCGGTAAATCATACGGAAACACATCTGGAAATTCTCTGACTGTCGAAATATCTTCAAGATTACTTCCTGTAGCTCTTGTATCGATTACATTAGCAATGTACTCTTGACATCTATACTGCGTCAACTTATGAGTTGACATCATCGATATCACATTAGCTAAAGGATGGATTCTTTCACTGACCACACTAACTTCCAATCCCTCCAGACTTGTTAACTGCACTCGCTTCAGTCGACAATCTAAGTTGGTATAATAATGATAAAGCCAATCATTCCCAGAATAACCTCAAATTCATCAAAGGGTAATTCTATTAGATTAGCAGGGAATTCAATTCCCTGAATCCTTATGGGACACTTTTACAAACTTGTCTCACCCGAGCACTATTTCCTAATGGATTCATCACAATCATCTCACTACGAATAGGCTCTAACGAAAGACTTAACTCTTTAACTAATTTACTACTGACATAAGAATGATTCTATCCCGAGTCAATCAAAACCAAAACAGATTTATCGGCTATCTGAAAAGTACCTGCAATGATTTCAGGATCATCACAATCTTCACTGGTCTTTAAATTGTAAAACCGAGCGGTAGAACGCACTTCAGGTTGAGGAGTAAACTCAAATTGATTTCTTCATCTTCCTCGACCTCTTTCTCTTACTGGTGCAACCATATATCTCTCTGTATGAGCAGGCTCTCCAATCATCATTGGGCAGTCTCAAATAAAATGCCCATCCTCCATACATTTAAAACATGCTCCGGAGACCCGTCTGCACACTCCACTATGGTTCTTCCCACAATGCAGACATTGCTTCGGCTTATCTACTCCAAATTCTACTGAATAAGATTGTCTTGTTATTTCTGGATTTGATCCTATATCCGAGGATATTGCGGATTCTGCTATGTTCTGAGGTCGAGAACTTGAACCTCTGCTCTTCTTTGATTGCGAAGAACAAGACGATCCATTGCGTCCGCTGCTCCGTAAACCTTTCATTTTGAGCTCGCTCTACGGCTTTAGCTCAATTCACAACCTCTTGGAAGGAAGAGAGGTTAAGAGCCAACAACAGCTCTTTGAATCTGGGTCGCAAACCCTCCACAAACCAATCACAAGAGTCTTTATCTGTCAGAACTAACTCAGCAGCAAATCGACTCAGTTTGTTGAACTCACACTCAAACTCATATAACGTGCGATTCCCTTGCTTTAAATACATGAATTCATGCTTCATCTATCGGATGAACTGATCCCCTATATATTTGTTCTTAAACTCTTCCAGGAAAAAGGGCCAGGTCACCTGATCCCTTGAAGCTCGCGTCATCACATTCGACCACCAAATTTTGGCTTGACCCCTTAATAATGAAACAACACCATCCAATTTCTCCAATTCAGAGCAATGAAGATTCTCTAACATAACCTTCAAGTCGTGAAGCCACATATCAGTAGTAACTGGACCTTATTTTTCTTCTCCCCTAAATTCTGGTGCTCCTAAACTCCTCAGCTTTTTAGGAACATTCATCTTAGGGGATGAAGAGACAGACGGTTGGAGACGCTTCAGGATAGCGTCCAACGTCTGAAAGAATGTCCCCTGATCTTGAACAGGCACTCCAGGCTATGCCTGCTCCTCACTCTGTCTACTAGGGGAAGGGCAGTTACTACTCTCCTCCATCATATCACTTCGGGAGCCTTCAAAGTTTGACATTTATTAAGATCAAATTACTAAAGGTATTAGCGAAGATAACATATTGATTCCCTTATCAGATCAGAAAACTTAATTAACAATTGGCATGTACTCTTTTTAAAATCGAAAACGACTTCATTTCAAACTTAAAATCACTTAAACCATAGCTCTGATACCATTAAATGTAACACCTCTAACCCACACCCGACCCAAATGTGAATCCGAAGTGTCACATTTAACTTTTCAAACATACGAAATTCACAAATGAGAATAATTTTAAAACTTATTATTCAAATCAGGATAAAGAAAATAATAACATTGCAAATATAAAATTATTTCACATAAAATCTTAATAATTTACATAAATAACCCAAAAGATAGAGTTTACAAAATACAAAATTATACCAGTTTACAAAATCGACCAGAGCATTTCAAATTAAACGTATTATACATGCCAATAGTTTACAAAATAAAAAAACCTACATTTAATTTGACTTGATATGATCTTCTGATGATATGTTATCCTTCACAAATCAATCTTCTGCTTTCTTCAAACCTACGCGTGAGGAAAACACACGCTAAGTCGATGACTTAGTGAGGAAATACTAATAGTGCTACTTATGAATATAAATCTTATTTGTTTTATTCAATCATTTTTAAAAAAGATTATTAATTTCCATATCAAAGGTATACTTATGAATAATTATTCTTTGTATTTCTTTGTTCCAATTGCCCAAGGTATACTACTGAGAAATTTAGGTATTTGAGTACTATAAGGTTGTGCACTAATGCTGTCACCACAGCTCGTAATTTGCACCGAAGTGCCACATAATTTTCCCGAAGGACCACATAGTTTGCACCGAAGTGCCACATAGGGTTGTACCGAAGTGCCACATATTTATCCCGGAGTACCACATAATTATCCCGAAGGACCATATAGACCCTCGACTCTTGGCATGCCAACTATACCTCTAATCCTCATACATATACATTGGGCTTTTAATCACATAATTAGGTTCAATCCTTATTCAAAGTGTTTCTTATTCACATAGCTTCTCTATCATAGAGTACGTTCACATTCACTGGTTCGAAGCTCATATGTTCATAATACATAGTTTGCAACAATTGGAAATTGAATAAAACATTAAATAAATATATATTTTTCGATAGAAAACACTGAGGTTGGCTTATCGCAAGCCTTCCTCAATTCTATTACGAAAAGAGAAGTTGCACTCACCTTTGCCTCACTAAGGTATAATCCCAATCTCTTTGAATTGATACTCGAAAATACCAAGCTGACGGGAAGTCAATTATGTTCGATCACTACACAAATAATTTAGAATCAATATCGATCTTATCTTAATTATGTCAAATCATAATATCTGGATATACAAGAAACCATATACTTCATTTTACACTTGGGGGTATCGATACCTACACATGTATCGATACCTAAATTGCATTCGAAATGGAAAGGGCATCGATACACTCCTCAGTGTACCGATACACAAATAACATTCAATGTTTCGAGGGTATCGATACACTCCTCAGTGTACCGATACACAAATGGCATTCGAAGTTTTACGGGTATCGATACACTCCTCAGTGTATCGATACACACTCATACAGTTATGCATGTTCAACTCATGGTGTATCGGTACCTCTCCTAAGGGTATTGATACACTAGGCCCATAATGGCCATTTTCAACTAGAAAATCACCTAAAATCCACCCAAAAACTCTCTTAAACACACACTTTGAGTCTGTAAACTCACCTTTATACCTACAAACCAACTTGTACATATTTATAACTCTCAAACATCCCAAATTCTCATTTAAACACTTGAATCTTCAAATCATACTCAACATTCAAACATGTTATTACAAATTCTATCAATCATAATCTTTTAATTAACTATTGACAAGTCAAAAATCTTATTCAAACTTCAAAAACTCCTCCATCACAAAATTTCATCTAAATACCCATTTTACAAATCCTTCTCTAAAATACTCATCTTGTTATTTTAATGCTATATAAGCTTTCCTTAAGCTTATATACCTTCTAAATTCCATTAACAACCCAAAAATCCAAGTAACATCACAAAATTCATGTTCTTACCTTTAGGATGAAGCCCACGTTGAAGAAGAAGAGAACATAATGATATACCAACCCTTCTTCCCTTTACTTCATATATATCCAAACCACCACCAATTAAAATATCATTCCCTGCTATTTATCTGATACATGCATCACAAGGCTCACATCAAAGGAAGAAGTAATAACTCTTCCAAATGATCCACTCGTCCAAGCTTTGGAAAAGAAGATCAGAACAGTAGCAGACTTGAGACGACTTTTTGAATGGGATCCTGATCTTATTTGGTCAACATATTTTCTGGAGATACAACCTTCTGTCTCTTATCTTTCCAACGGTTCTTGAATCGTATCAATCCGATATCGGGAACTCAAGATATGGCCATTTTACTGAAGACGGTGCATGCAGAAAATCCTATACGGGATTAATACGGGATTTTGTAAATATTACGAATTTTCAATATTTTTATTGATTATTTGTAATATAACTTAATATATGATGATGCATTATCTTTTAGAATTAGATTTATTATTTTATTAGGAATTAAGGTTGGGTTAAAATATTACCTTTAGTTATTATTATTTTATTAGGAATTAGAGTTAAGACATGTTTAGTTTATTATTATTTTATTCATTAGTTATTTAGGACCTTTAGAACTCAGCCCCTATATAAAGGAGGCTTCATTATACTTTGTAAATAATATTTCTTTGATTAATAATACAACGAGAGTTCATTTTTGCAAGTGCTGATTGCCTTGTGCCTTCGAAGCTTCTTCTCCTGGAGTTCTTTCAAGTTCTTGTGAGGGAGATTAATCTTCACACTCCAATTTGCCTTTTCATCGCGACTAGGAGGGTTGGTTAGAGCCATTTATCATGTTTGCCTTTTCATTGCGACTAGGAGGGCTCGATAGGACACTTATCCATCTATTTTTCCACAAATCCATCCGCACCATCAATCATCTTTACCGTTCACCTTCATAAGGGAGATCTTTTGATTTCTTTATTATCTTATTTCATCTTTCATTTATTTATCTTTTGTTTATTTTATTCTAATCGTGTTGTCTTGATTCCAGCACATAAAAGAAACCCTAAACAATCCTAGCAACTGCCGCCACCTTCCCATATTCATCACCTTTGTTCTTCATCGAGTCTAGAGCTTTCTAGGTTTGATTCTTTAACAAGAGCAACGTTCATTAACCCGCCACCGCTTCCCTATCAATTGGTATTAGATTTGGGCCGATTCTTGGAAAGAAGCAACCAATTTTGCTTGTTCTTGCACACAAAACCGTCAAGGTACCCCAACGGAGCTAGTTCAGAGAAGATTCATTGTTTCAGGTTCTTTTTATTTAATTTTAATTTAGATTCAAATCCTTCTTGTTAGTTTGCTATTTTTTTCAAAAAAAAAAAACAAAAAAAGGCAAAATAAAAAAATCCAAAATTTCAAAAACAATTGCAAATGAAAGTATTTAGGGCTGATTTTATGCAGATATCATATAAATCTTAATTTTAATTTCCAGTCCAAAATTCACTTCAATCAGAGTTCATTAGATCCTTCAAATACATCATTCAAGTTTTATCAGCAGATTCGGTCTAGAATATTGTCGAATTTCTTGAAAATTATACAGGAGGAATTTTGTGGTGAAAATTTCCAGATTGAAACTCCATATATTGGAGATCATTCACACAAAAAATCAGAATTTTTGGAGATCAATAACAACTTCGAACAAAGCGATCAAGAAAAACAGATTGTTTGAGGACTCACCGTTCAACAGAGTCTACTGGATACTACTGAAGGTATTTGATTCTGAAATTTTATAGGTGGTTTTTTGACGCATCGAAAGACATTCAAGAATTTTTCCATAATTTTTGGATACCGGTAACCCCCTCAAAAACGTTGCTCAAGTTGATCCACCGTTTTCTAGGTTTTCTGGTTTGGTCCTTTTTTTCTTTAACTCTTAGTGCTTTAGGTTCTTTTGTTTTTCCCTGTTATTGTTCTTTTGCATTATCTAACACATTATCTTCCTTGTGTTAGTAGGACTAAAGAGTTTGCATATTTCTTCCTTCTTTGCATTCTCATTCTCTTGGAGTCTAACCTTTGTTTGGCCTCTTAGAGCTTTTAGGTTTTTCTTATCGCCTTTGCTAGTAATCAAACTCCGATACGAACTGTGAAAGACTACTTGGTAAAGTGAGTTTTAAAGAGTACAAGATTAGCTTACTTGCCTCTCGT